AAAAGAAAAAATAGTACATGGTCGGGCCGGGGATTTAGCTCAATGGTTCCAGCACCTGCCTCAAAAGCGCAAGGTCCCGAGTTTGATCCCCGGCACCAAAAAATAAAATAAAATAGTACATGGTCAGTGAACATGCTCCCACAGTGCTCTAATTCCCTGGCCTCCCTGCATCTGCTTTCCTCCTCCCCCACTGTGATGGAGCTGGCTAATGGGTTTGAAGATGGACTCATGGTTTGAGGCCAGCTTCTCCACCAACTGTGCAGTGGTATCAAGGACATCCTTGAAGGCTGTCTGCCTCAGCCAGCTCCTGCATTTCCAATATCATAGTGATCAGTGACTCCAATGTTGAGAAGATATGCTTGATCTACCACTTCTGATTTCCAAGAGTGAGCAGTGGAGATTGATGGGGAGTGCACAAGGTCCTGTTATGAGACTCAGCAGGACAAGAGCGGTTTGGAAGGAGCACGGTGCAGCACTACTGCCTAGACATGCATGCATGCTGGGGTCTCTGTGCATGACACAACCGACATGGCTGGTTTTTCACAGCCTGCCATCTCTGATAGAGGAATGCAAACTGCATTTGCTAGTGAATGACATACCAAGAGTTCTCCTTAGAAATAAATGTAACTTGAGAAGAACACTTCTCAAGTGTTGTGGCTTGTGTCTAGATGTCCCCCCCTCAAAAAAAAAGCCTCATGCAGTGGCTTTTCAGAGGTGGCTGGATCTAGGGTATGATGCTGGGATTAGGGTATGATGCTGGGATTGATTCATGCTGGGATGCTAGAATTAAGGGTGCCCCAAACTGGGTGTGAGTGTTATCTACCCTAAGGGCAGGTAGCCTCGATAGAATATAAGAGGCAGAATGAAAGCTGCTGTTGTTGCTTGCTGCTTGCTGCTTGTTGCCTTTTGCCTGCCCTGCTTTGCCTTGCACTGTTTCTCCTATGTGATGCCCCTCTGCCACGCTACCTTGCTCTGGAGCCACCCAACTATGGATTGAAACCACTACAAACTGTGAGCTATAATAAGGCTTTCCTTCTTTAACTTTGGGTTAAAGTTGAGTATTTTGTCTCAGCCACGAGAAAAGTAAGACAAGCGCTCCCATTCAGGTGCCCTCACACTTGGCACAAAAATTTGCTGAACTTCACAACATCATTCTGTTTGAAAGCTCTATTAAAAATCCCAATGGTGATGACCATGTGGAAGCTGGATTTATGACTTTGGCTCATGAGCTTAAGTGTCACAAACCATTAATTCTTCGTCAACCCCCTTTTAACAGAACTGCCATGAAACCTGAACCAAAGCCTTCAATGATCTGCTGGTGCTAAGTGAGTCATTATTCTGATTCTGACTAAAGAAAACTTTTGAAGTATGACAATGGTGAGTCATAAGATTTAATCTCAAATATAATGGATCATCCTGATACTTTAGAGTTTATCCTTAGTATTTTGTATCTACTAATCAAGTCTGTCACTGTGACAACACCAGCAAAAAAAAAGTTTGTTTTCATTTGAGACTGAGAATGAAAGAAAGTTAGGATGGATCTGAACACCCTTCCTTGGAGCACCCAATGTGGGGCCCCTGAAAGCACCACAGATGGTAAGCATCAGCAACTGTCTCTGTCCA